ATTCAAGTTAATTCATGTAATTAAATACATGTTCAATTAATATGATTTTCTAATCAAATTTAATATAATAATATTTTTATATTAATACGTTTTATATTAATATAAAAATATTGAACAGAACAAAATCTGATATTACAATTCAATTTAATTCATGTAATTAAATACATATATTGATATAAATTTTATTTCATATTTAGGTAATTAAATGTTTTATATTAATATCAAAATATTTAATAGAACAAAATTGGATTAAATGACAATTCAAATCAAGTAACTAAATTCAATTTATATTAACACAAAACTATTTTAAGGAAGAAAATTAGATATGCATTTGTAAGCATATTTAATTAAAAAAATATATCTCAGTTAAAAAGCCATAGCTATAGCTTTATATGAGTACTAAAAGTAACAAATGAAACTAAAGTAAATGAATAAATTTTATATTCATATGAAAATATTAAATAAAACACTATTATATAGAATTCAATTCTAGACATCACGTTTAAAAATTAATTAAATAAATTATATATGAATATGATACTAATTTATATAGCAGTAACAGATTCAATTCTTGCTCTCCCCTCTGGAAATTAATTGAATATTGTTTGATCTTAATATGAGAGAATATTATGTAGAATAACAAGTTAAATTCTTAAGTTCACTAATCTCTCATTAGCTACACATGTCTTTAGTGTATCTCCTTAATGAAGCTATTGTCTAGTCCGTTTCGAGCAGTGTCAATGTGAAAGAAATTTATGAAGGAATATTACATTGTATAACCAGTCTTTGTTTCTACAGAACATTAAATTGTATAACTTATCCTCAGCTTTGTCTTTTTAATTAAGCTATTTTCTAGTCAGTTCTTTGCAATTTTCATGTTCAATATGAAAATAATATGTTGAATAATATTTTAAGGAATTGCAAATTGAATTCGGAGTTCACTAATTTCTCTTTAGTTAAAACTCTCTTAGCGTATCTCATTAATGATAATGTGTCTCCTAGTCATTCTCTATCAGCTCATCTATTCAATATGCTTCTTCTTCTTCATTGACTGCCAGCAAGCTCTGCTCAAGACTTCCTCTACGTAGCTTCTTCCTTATAGAATGTGCTGCTCATGTCATCATGAGTTAAGTGTGCAGCACATGTCTTGAATTTAAATGCCGAATTATTGCTAATCACATTTTAATTTCCATCAACTCTATTTGACTTCCTCCTCAGCTGAGCTCAGTTTGACTGGCCTCTTGGCTCGAGCATCCTTTGGCTGTGATAAACACGTGAATATTCTCATTTAATAAAGCGTCTGCTCATTAGGCATACGAGGAACACATAAATTAAATATTTATTTATTTCATTTATTTTTGAGCGAGTAAAGCGACAAACAGTGAGCGCTAGATAAAAGCGAATGCAAACAACTATCAGAGACTCGTTTTACTAAACCCATTATCCATGCGTATCACGTTTTTTGTTTTTTGCTTTTTTGCGAATCACGTTTCGATACGCAAACACAGACGAGTGTCTATGTGAGTGCACTTATGAGTGTATGGGTCTGCACTCAAATTTAAAATATTTCTTTGTTTATTTAACGGAATCTACACTATGAAAAGCTGTTTTTATATTATTTTAAATCCGTATTTCTGTATTTTTGTGTTTTTATGACATTTGTTGATTTATGTGCAATTTTATAAATTGTTTTCATTGAAAAGAGCTGAATATTATTTAATTTACTTAAAAGCGATGAAGAGGGGGAGCTAACCGAGATATTTTCTGAAATAGCAACACCTGTGGAATAAAAAGCTTATCTTTGTCACCTAAAAATAAGACAACAAACAATGCACTTATCAAAAATACATAAATACGCAATATAAATAAACTAAAAATAATGCACAATTCTATATAAAAAGAACGAAATGCGAGAGAGAAAATGAATCAATTAAAGCGCTTTATTTATTTGCGCGAGGGGAAAACTCTTCGTTGGGCTGGCAGCTGGCCAAATAATGCACGAAACGTAATTTAGTAGCGGTGAAAACTATTTTATATAAATAAACAATAACAACAAGTGCAATCAAAGCAACAACAACAGCAAGTTGTTAAGAAACGCATTTGAATGGTGTTAAAGACTATCAGAAATTAGCGCGGGAAACCAGATGAGGAAGCGCCCATTCGCTGTTAGATAAGTGACAAATAAAGATTTCCCAAAATATGATTTAATTTTCTCTTGTGACAAACAAATATTTCCCAACCTAATTTTGGAATTCGAAGTGCGATTCACATTTTCCTACCTTACATTCAGCAAACTCTTTCGATACGTTTGAAGAGCAGTTCACTTTATGGACACACCCTGCATATTTTAACGATGCAATACAAACAAACACACACACACAAACAAACACAACTCCCACACACAAGCAAATAAAGCAATAAATAAACGATACAAAAATTGAATACCAAATTCAATTTTTGCCATTTTTCACTTTTATTTTCAGCGCGCACAGTGGGGCAAATACACATGCAACTGCACACATATTTGCTAGCAAGAGCAACCAGCTTTCAGGGTCATTATCCTAAACAGGCCGCGTGCTCACTCAGTGTTGTTGTTGTTGTTGTCATCTTTTGCTTTTTTATGCTCTTTTTTTGGCACACAGCTCGTTCCGCAACTGTTGGCCAAGTCGGTGACTCTGTCCCCATTAAGGCTGTGTACCCCTCCCACTCTCCCACTCTCCCCTCATTCCATCGATCGCTGCCCTTGTCCTGGCCGCTTGCCCACATGCCAAGAGCAACTGCAACAACAACAACAATAACAACAAATAAAATAAAATGCAACGATGCATGCAAAACGTGCATTGGGCCAATCGTCGAGACATTTTGGCCAGATCTGAGCGAAGCAAAAGGGCGCTACAGCGACAGCTAGAACTGCAGCTGATAATATGAATGCTCAAAGAAATCAGAAATGTCTTATAACTATTACTTTTTACCTGATATATCAGCAATATTTAGTTATATTTCTCCCTGCACTACCAGTTGATATGTTTAACCTCTTCATGAAATTGATTCGCTCTCATAAGTTCTTTATAAACACTGTGATTCCATCTGTGGGCACGCTTACTACAGTCGCTTGAGTAAGTTCCTCCACTGCAACCTTTTGAGCTCGCAACTTGAACTTTGTTTACACAAATTTATGAAATCTGGAAAGTTTGCTTTACCAATATGATTCAAGCAGGCAGCGCAGCCCAAGTTGGTTCATAGACTCAGCCAGTGGCTATAGACGGTTAAATAAGTGTACTCCCACACACACACACATAGAGGGAGAGGGTCTCACACACACACACACTCTTACTACACACAAGGCGAGCATAAATAGGCGTCAAAATAAAGTTTTGTATTCAATTGGCGGAATCGCTGGCTCTCTTGTTCGGCTGGCCGAGTCGACTTTGACTGCTGAAAACTGAGTGCATATAGAAATTAAATTTATTATAACCAGACGTCGCGACGAAAAGGGAAGACAGTGTGGGCGGTGGGGTATGGTATCTCTACTTTTATGTAAAACAAGTAGGTGTCCAAGCAGATGCCGCGTGTCTCCTTTATGTAAGAAAGGAAAACTGGAACTGGTTGGCAGGCAGCTCAGGCGCTTTATGTGGTCTTGGTGGCTGGCTAGTGGCTTGCCGAACCACTTTTCAGTGTCAGCCGCACACCCACGACTCGTTCGTGCCGCCCATATGCCATTTGGCGCTAGCCCTGGCAACACGAAATAAAATATTTAAATGCATTGCATTTCCCTGACACAGCGGGCAGCTGCTGGAGAGGAGGGCAGAGGAGGGGCCAGGGGACAGACGAGGCAAGTGGGGCAACGGGCGAATTATTAATGGCAACGCCTTTGCCAGTGGCATTGGCCTTCAGCGTAGCGAAATGGCCAAAAATGCAGGAAACCAAGGAATTCGCCGTTTGCTTCAAACTGCAGAACAATTCGCTGTTTCATAGTTTCATAGGGCGCAAAATATGATTTGTGTATGACCCAGGAGCTATATAAATATGTGTGTACAACTGTTTTTCATAAATTCACAAACTGTTAACAGTTTAGCGAAATCGCAGCCGTGATTTCGATGGCTACCTAGTGGGTGTACAATAAATAGCATTATCCGCTGATCTACTAGCTTTAAATATCTATAGGCTATCTATATAGTTTTATTTGATTTATGTCTACAGTCTGTAAGATGTATAAAGTGCTGAACTAACCTCAAGTTATTGTGAAACTAAAGTCCTAAAGGTCTTATCCATTTTCTATCCATTTCCTAGCAACAACAGGAACAATAAATAATATTAATAATGTTTGTACCATCAATGTCTACGTACACCAGAAAGTGCACAAAGACTAAAAGAAAATACCATTATTTAAATTATTATCTATTACTATTATCTAATTAACTAACTTTATTATACAAACAAACAATTTGCATATATATAAATGATTATGTTGGTCAATTTAAGATTTACTTAAGTCTAAATTAAATATATATAACAGATTAGATTATATATTAATGGAATATGAGAATAGTTAGGGTATGCAAAACAATTGTAGACTTCAAATATACTAAGCAGCTCCTTAAGTTATTCCAAGTCCGTTATATACAATCCATGACATCTGAAACAAATCTATTGATATATCTTTCCTTTGTTCATTCAAATGTATAGAGCCTTAAAGCTTCCCATTAATCCACTATTCAGTTGAGATATTATTCATGTATTGGCACAGCAGTGAAATGCTTACCCCTTGCCATAATTCGGTCTTTTCATTAGGTTAATAGGAACTTGTCGAGTGATAAGGCCCTTATCAATTTGGCTAGTACTTAACATGAGCTGCCAATAAATATGATTCTATAAATATGGCCGCTTATCGCTAGCTAAGCGAGCGGCCCCACAGTTTTCAGCGACTTCCACTATGCCTAAAATTGCTTATAACGAATCGATTCTTGAAACTTAACTGCGTTTGTTTTTAATCGTTTCAGTAGTTAAACGACTTTGGTTAGCATCGCAGTTGCAGGAGCAAATGTTGCACACAATTTAGAGATACGGAACGATTGGGAACCGGATAGAGCTGTTAGCTGAAAAATAAAAGAAAACAAATCAAGAACACAAGGAATAAATAGATCTCCGGCCCGGCTATGTACTGCCAGGAAATGCTGCTGCTGGCATGCCTACTGCTGCTGTTGGGGGGCCAGCCGCACTTGACCTCGACCACGACGACAACCACTTTGGTGGCGGCCATGACGATTGCCAACCAGGACCTGGAGCGATATTTTCGACCGGCGAATGCGACGCACTCGTACACCAGCATAGGCGAGGAGCGCCTCACCATGGACTTCTACAACTTCGCCTTCCTCAATTGGTCCTATGTGGACAGCCAGAATATAATCAGGGAAATTGAGTTTTCGGAGGAGAAGGCGCGCTACGGCGAGGGCCGAGTGCTCAATGTGACGGGTCGTCTGATACACATTAGCACTGCTGATGACATTAGCGACGATTTCGCGTGCACACCCTATATACGCGGCACCCTGGGCATGCCCCTGCCCGAGAAGGGCGTGTCATGGATAGCGCTGGTGCGACGTGGCCGTTGCACCTTCGAGGATAAGGTGAAGCATGTGCATCAATACAACGCCGCGGGGGTAATAATCTACAATGATAAGCAGGTTATGCAGCTGGAGAAAATGCAGATCAAAAACAAGAATCGTGAGCTCTTTTATTTTCATTTCAAAAAGCCAACAAACTAAATTCGCACTTTTCTAGGTAATATTGCCGCAGTGATAACGTATCAAGCGATTGGACTCGAACTAGCCAGCACTGTTGATAAGGGAATAAATGTAACGATTTCCATAATTGAAGGACGACGGGGCGTGCGATCTGTCAGCAGCTTAAATCGGTAAGCTAAACATCAAAATAATGTAGAAAAAAAAAACAAAATTATCCAATTGTTGTACTGGAGACGCCGGGGTTTGAACCCGGGACTTCTCACATGCGAAGCGAGCGCTCTACCACTGAGCTACGTCCCCATGAGAACGAGTTGGGGAAAATGCGTTAGTTATGTCAAGTGAACAAAAACAATTTATTTGCACTGCTTTATAATTAATATGCACTGCTTTATTAACGCTGATTGCGAAGTGATCAACCTAGTTTTGGAAATGAAGTCAAGGAAAGCTTAGTTTGAGATCAGCGAACTTATCTGAAAGACATTACAAAATTAAAATTGTGAAATAAAAAAATTACTCTGAAATCCGCTGGAGACGCCGGGGTTTGAACCCGGGACTTCTCACATGCGAAGCGAGCGCTCTACCACTGAGCTACGTCCCCAATACAAAATGATGTGCAAAATGACTTACTTACAACAATTGTGCTATAGCACTGAACAATGTACTGATGTACTTATCATCGAACGCAGGATGCACTGCTTTATTTTCTATTAACAGCAATAAAAATGCTTTCACACGACCTTGTACCACACGTACTATCATCTATTTCAAGTCATGTGTAAGCTAAAAAAAAATAAGGAAAAGACAATCGTTGGGTTTGAATTAGAAACTGTATGTAATGTATTTTAAAATAAAGCCGTCAATTATTACTATGGAGACGCCGGGGTTTGAACCCGGGACTTCTCACATGCGAAGCGAGCGCTCTACCACTGAGCTACGTCCCCATATTAGCCGGCTGTGACCAATTTTGCAGTTCAGCCCGAGCTCTCGAATTACACCCAGCTTTAATATATATATAATAATAATAACAGTGAATTTAATTCAAATTAATCCTTTTCAGCACCTCGGTTCTGTTTGTGTCGATATCGTTTATTGTGCTGATGATTATTTCGTTAGTATGGCTTATCTTTTACTACATACAGAGATTCCGTTACATGCAAGCAAAGGATCAGCAATCGGTGAGCTATGCCTGACTTTGAAGTGGTCGATATGATTACTTACAATGAATGATATATGTTGCAGCGCAATCTTTGCTCAGTGACAAAGAAGGCCATTATGAAAATTCCAACTAAGACGGGCAAGATGACCGATGAGAAGGACATGGACAGCGATTGTTGTGCCATATGCATTGAGTCCTACAAGCCCGCTGATATAATACGCATACTGCCCTGCAAGTAAGTGTAAAACATGAGTCGCTCTCCGGTAAAGCAAATTGACTAAGTTATGTATCTTTCTCTCTGTCTCTTTCTCTCTCCTTCGTTCTCTCTCGCCAGGCACGAGTTCCACAAGAACTGCATCGATCCGTGGCTGATTGAGCATCGCACCTGCCCCATGTGCAAGCTGGATGTGCTCAAGTTCTACGGCTATGTGGTGGGTGACCAAATCTATCAAACGCCCAGTCCACAGCACAATGCGCCATCCGCAGCCGCAGCCACAGCAGCCGCAGCAGCAGCAGCACCTGGTGGTGCAGGTGCAGGTGTTGCTGCTGCCGCTGGGCCAGGTGCCGGCGAGGAGGGGCTGCCCGTCATTGTGGTGGCCCTGCCACCGCACAACATCAGTAGCTTTAATCCTAGTGCTATCAGCTATCACCAGCGTAGTCCTAGTAGTAGTTACCAACCACAACTGCAACATCAGCAGTTGCAACAACAACAACAACAGCCACTGGGCGGGTCAGTTGAGCGCGGCAGACGGAACTCGGCACCGGCGACAATGCCGCAAATGATTTGCACTGCCAGTCGCCAGGTGACCGACGTATAAGTCGCCTGACCCAACTGATCTATAAGTAACCCTCGTATCTATATAGTTACGTATAAACCTACATATACTTGCATATTTAAATTTTTAAATTCTACATTCGACGTGCTGCGTACTTACCATGTAAATATGCGTGCTTCGACTGCTTGCCCAACAAGCGGTTGCAAGCAGTGCGAAGCAGTGCACACAGTGTACTTAATCGCTGAACAGAAAGCAGAGCGGATAAACTACGCTAACCACTCCAACTGGAGAGTGCAACATCCCTAATTAGATAATGTAATTGCTCTAATCAGCGAAGTCTGTAGACACAGAACTGAAGATCCACGCACATTAAATACAGAAAACAGAAACAAAAACAAAAACAAAGAAATGCGAAAAGAAAACACGAAACTTATGCAGAGTTCTATAAGTTCTATATTTAAGTTATAAATTTAAGCGTACCAATTGTCGATATAAAAACAAACCGGAAAACCGAAAGCCGAAAACCGAAAAACAAATTACGCGAGAGAAAAGCAAACAGAAATATTTACGAGTACTACAATAACTACTATAACTAATAACTATTTCTAACTATGTATATGTATTATTATGAATCATAAAACGTGTAGCCGTAGTAGCTGTAATATTCGATGCAACATCATTTGTAGCAAAATCAGCGCCTGTTTTGCTAGTCAATAATACTACGCACACACACACACACACACACACACAGACACGCATACACATACCTACATACAAGACTCATAAACACACACACACACACACTTTAAGATAATGTCGAAGGTGCCAAAGTATTTGCTTTTAGCTTTAGTTGTTCAAATTGAATAAATGTACCGCTAGTTATATTATTTATTTTAATTTTCTCTCTTTGATTTCGCAAGTCCATTCAATGGACTAATAACCGATAATTGGACCTGGCCTAGCGCTGGCCATACTAATCAGAATCTGGCATCGCTGCGTTATCGCTTGCTTGATCGATCCCCTTCGATGAGGATCTATAGCATAAATAACTGTGCGAGCACCTGTGCGAATATATAGGTGAATATGTATGTACTTAGAAATGAGTTCCAGGGCTTCGGACACTTACAATAAAACATATCTGCGATCCATTGCCAATCATTACAAAAAGAAAGATACAGAGGGAACACTCAATCCAATTGCATCTTGATATCTCCATTCAGTTTCATATCCACACTAAAAACCCGCAAGCTGCCCGCTGAGCTTAGAGCAAGTTAGAGCGACTATTACGATTACAGTTACCAGATGTGTACTACATACACCTATATACAATACATACACAGATACGAATTATACTATATAGAACGTATATATAGTTTTTGCTAAAACCTAAACCTAAACCTAAACCAAACGTGGACTCAAGCATATTCAAGACCAAATAAATTGATTGAATTTGAAAAACGCTTTCGCTTGTTTGCAATGTAGTTGCCTGAGTTGCGCGCGCTCTGCTCCCAACGCTTGTCCACCCGCTCACCCGTAGCTAGACGCCATGGACCGACTCCAGAGGAGCTGCCCGATCGATACCCTCGGCGATGGTATATGGGTGCTACCATTCAAGCTCTTCTCGTTTCAGTTTCTGGGCAGTGAGGAGAGCATCTTGGAGTACGAGCCGGAGAGGAACGCCCGCAACGCCAATCCGCCTGCGATTCCTGCGATTCCTGCGATCGGCCTCACCCAGGAGACGGCAACGGCTGTGATCCCGTCACCGGCGCCGATCCAGACGAGCGCCTTGGCCGATCTGATACGCAGCCGCGACTTTGTGATAGATTTCCCGCGCGTCTTCGTCCTGAACAGCGGCAGCGTGGTGGGCGCCCGGGATATGCTCTTCCCAACCAGGCTGCCAGAGCGCTCGCAGAGCTCGCTGTCGCTGCGACAGGCGCGCGACTGGATGGCTCAGATGACCAACAAACTGGAGGAGCAGCAGGGACTGCGACGTCTGCGCAAGGATGAAATGCAGCAGGTAAATGCCAGCAAATCGATGTAGATGTATGTAGATGCCATCTAACCATTGGCTCCTACAGCAACTGCTGAGTGCCCGGGACTCGGCTCGACAGCGTCGTTCGCGGTCCGCCGACGGACGCTATGCCACCGGCTGCTTTGGTCGCCAGCGGCAGTCGGCAGCCGGCACGCTGCCCCAGCCTGAGGCGGGGCCAATGCGACGCACTAGCTCCACCCAGGCGCTGCAGCAGCTGACGGACGCCTCGTATGCCCAGTCGCGCCAGAGGCAGCGCGAGACCTTCGACTTTGCGCGCACTCGACGCCGCTTCATGGGACGGCAGGACGATGAGATCTCCTTGCAGTCCCTGCCCAGGCGTGCCGCACCCCTGCCGCCCGCCCACCCGCAGCGCGAGCGGGGCGAGGCTGAGGCCAGCGACCACATTACCATTCAGGTGAACGGAGAGGGCGTCGATCTCAATGAGTAGGCCAGCTGACTGCCGAGGAGCCAGGAGGCACGCGCCGCTGTAGATTTGTAAAAAGTATTCCGCTTAGAGTGTAAAATGTACTGCTGTTATCTCCACATCGACTTAAATACCCTGTAATATTATTCACGCCTGCGAGAATTAAATATACTGCATACTTTCGCTTTTCCACAAACACTTGAATACGACTCAATTGCTGGGACATCAGTTGGGAAAATGGGCGAGATTTGGCTTCTATAACTCTTAAGTACATCTTGAGTATCGGGCAGAAAGATGAAATGGAAGATTGCTTCTGGAGAGTGGGCAATGGTTTACTGTTTCACTTGCAAGTCTTTCGACTGCAAATAACCTAATTCCGGGTGGAATTTTTGAGTGGGAGTTACTATGGGCCAACTTGCAATGATTTTGTTATCTAAGGATCTGCAACTTGTTGAATTTTGAGTCCAGCTAAGCACAAAGGGGTTAGTAGAGTATCTCGTATGGCTTCAATAAACATTATTATATAAGAGACTAAGCTCACCACTTGCAAGGGATTTCTGGAGTACTGCGTATGACTTGGATAATTCCATTGCATACTTTCAGCCTGCAAATTAAAAATAAGATGAGGCACGTGCGTAAAAATCCTAGCATACTTTTGGGGGCAGCATAAAATAGATGAGTAAAAGATTAAGCGAAGCATTAAGCATTGAATTTGTTAAATTTACATATCATTTTTCATATATTAATTATCTCTATATCAAACATTAACTACTCATTTTCATTACAATTTGAAAATAATTAGTTTTTAGCTCTTAAAATAAAATCCATTGAAAATTATTGCAATTTATAATAATTCAATTAAATTAGCCTGAACCCAATCGGTTTGGGTTTTTAATCCCTATGATTCACTCAGCGCACAATATGAGCTATGCCCAAGTGGAGGGCATTGCCCCTTAGCTCTCCTCTCTGGCCCACTCCTCGACGTGGAGCTGAATTCCATTAGGGATTTGCGCGTGCCTCGTGCTGACAGCGGCGACTGCTGGTTGCCGTGGCGGCAGACAGCGAGGCAGCAGCGTTATCCGACAAATCCGCACTGCTGCGGCCCCAGACACACAGCTTCAGGGAGATCCCGCGAGTCGGGCCGCCAAAACGAAGCAGTGAGAAAAATAGAGCAAAAGTTATGAGGAAGCGACCGACGCGTCGGTTGAAGTTTGCCGCTCATAACTGCGCAGCCGACACCAAAGGCAGCTAATAAGAATTCATCAGGCAGAGGCAGAGGCAGAGGCAGGGGCAGGGGAGATCGAGGCATCGGGGTACTGGGATCGAGGGTCGCCTGCACGCGCCGTAATTGCAACGCAACAGGAGGGCCGGTCGGTCCGTTCGGATCTGAAGCTGAAGCTGAAGCTGAGGCTGAGCTTGCGTCTGTATCTGTATTTGTGTCTGTGTGTGTGTGTGTGTGTCTGTGGACCGGCGGCTGCTGAAGCAACTCTCGGTAGGCAGCGGCCTGGCCCATGTTTATAAACTTAAAGTCTGTAATCACATTAGCCATGTAGCCAGCGAGTGGAGAGTCCGCCTGGCTGGACATTGGGGCCAACTGTTGCAGCTTTATCACCTGACTGTTGCTCGAGTCTCCTCTGTCCGCGTATCCCACGATCGCGATCGATGACAGCACGTACAATTTTTTTCGATTGCTGCCTCAGCTGCTGCCTCTCGTTCCGATCCCGCTCCCTGTGCCGTCGCTCGCCTTTTGCGGCTCAGCTATGGGCGTGTCCGCTGTGGGCGTTGCAGGGCACATTCAAGATAAAATGATTATATTGTAGGAAGTGCAGGTCGCCGTCGTAGAGTGCCTCGTGGGTAATAAAGCAAAGGAGTATCACACAAATCTACATATAACTCAGACGCGACGTGTTGATGTCTATTGAGGCGCATAAATATATCATTGCGCAAATTGGACAGCTATCCAGCTGGGGAGCGTAACTGCCCCAAAAGGACAGCCCATTGATGCTGCAGATACTAAATGCAATGCTCAATCCAGTTAAATGTCCGTCCATGATTGAATGTCCTGCTCAATTGATCATAAATTCATGTTGATTACAGAAACAATAATGACTTTATTATAATGATATTCCACTTTACATTTATGGTTTATGGGATCTGTCGACTTCTCTCATGAGTTCATTAAGAGCATAGAAATATACTTATATAGACAGTTGTTAGCCCAGCCTAACTGCCTTTCTGGCTCATTCTAATTAAATATATGTGCAGCCCTTTGAGCTGTCGCTGAATTGAAACGCATGGCAAGAGGATCCCACTGATCCTTATCGATTCGTAACCCCCAAATTGTGCCTGGTTAGCACTGGAAACCATAAACAAGCCCATAAATAATGAGTCGCACGACAAAAACAATGCACGGCGACGATGTGGCAATGTGGCAATGTGGCAAGTAGGAGGCATTCATGGCGAGGCGCAACAAATTGCACGATCGGCAGCTGCGACTGCAACTCCAACAGTAATAGCAACTGCAAGCCGTCGCTAATCTGGCGTAAATGGACAGCAGGCAGGAATCATTGCAGCTATTGATGAGCGAGCATATGCGAGGATCGCCAGGATCTTCGATCCTGCCGGTGCCAATCGGAACTAATCGCCAGCCAACAATAAAATTGTGCTCAGTGCCAGCTCGCCAGCCAGACGATCCACACGATGTGTGAAGCTAAATCCAATCAATGAGCTGAAAAGAGAAAAACGAGAGAGAGGCATTTGGTGTTAAGTAAAAGCAAAGAGAGAGAGAGAGAGAGAGAGAGAGAGGGAGAAAGAGAGAGGGATCTGAACATTTTAGTGTCATTTTCGAGAGATTTTCACCTTTTATTTTATTTTATTTAATTTATTTTAACGTTTTAGCAAACACAAATACAAACACAAATGGTAACCCCGATGAACGCGTGACAGGATGATCGGCCGAGGCACCCAACACCAAAGGACAGCGCAAAATGGCGATTCGTTGCGCCGGCTTGTCATGTTTGCCGAGCTCCGACTGCGGTCTGGGTGTGTTCCTGTCACCATTGTCAACGAGTCGACCAATGCCGACTGGCTGTCCCTCTCCAGGCCTCGGCTGTGCTCATGCTCTCTCCCTTGCACGAATCGATATTGTCTCAGAGCACGTGGACCTGGCGCGTACTATCTTGAAATTGAAAACCAAATTCTTACAGTCGGAAATTATATGTACATATGTATGTAGTATATACACTGCTAGTCATTAATATGGTGTAGTCTTCAGTTTCTATATTATCCAAGTTAAAGTCCTAAAATTCATGATCTATTGGATTCTGTTTTATTATTTATTCTTAAAATAAAAAAATATATAACATATGTATTTAATTTATATGGGACACCTTATTTTAAAAATTTCTTAAATTTCGGTATACAAGAGTATTGTATTTTACA